ACTTAAAAGAACTATCACATTATTAAAATGACTTTAATAGTAGAATAGTTAATTGTCAACAGTTTTCACAGTTATTCACTGAAGTAGTAACTCAATCTAGATTGAATTTGAAAACAAATATTGCAAAAATTAGACTAGACAATTATATAATACACATCATTTATCTGCTGCTTTTTCATTTACAAAAGGTGAGGTCAAGTTTTAGATAATTTCCGATTATGCAATCTTTTTACACAGGATAAGAAGTAGATTAGCGAATCTTGACCTCACCCAGTGATTAAATAATAAAAAGGAAACAAAACAATTTGACTAAAAAAATACTAGATTGACAAATTATGTGACAAACTCTTGTGCTATATTGAATCTGTTTATTATGGGCCTGTAAATTATGTTTAATTCAAAAATATTCACTGGACATCATCCATCCATAGTGAAGTGAAGTGTTCATCCATAGTTACGACTGGCATCGATCTTTCACCCTCATCGTTTCCTGAAAGGATAATTGCAGACAGATCAACTTCATCCTCATGTAGCCAATCAACATCCTCTGAATGTGCATTTTCTCTTTGGGCAATAACTGCCATGAGTTCGCTTTGCCTTCTAGCAGCGATTCTCAAAGGACTGATGCGTTTTATCTGAGTTGACTATTGAACAGTTTGGGTTGGCACATTCTCCCGAGCCCAAGCTCTGTGATGTCCTGCATGTTTCTTCGACATTGTTTGTGAGGCAAAGTATAAGTAACATACTTTGCAAATTCAATCAAGTAAGCTGGTCTGCAAAGATGGACAGTAAAGATCATGTAGTTGTACTTTGAAAACTCCTGTTGATCTCGGCTAGGCTATACATAAAACAAGGCTTCGCAACAGCATACTAGCGCTCCTAGCGGCACTAGCGAGAGGAATCGTGAATAACACATTCAGAAGATTCGCATTTCATGTCATTTTGACATAAAACTAATTCAAATGTTTCACAATATTTTTGGAAAATTATTTTTAAAGCTATTAAATTCTTCTAAAAAATAAAAAATAAATTAGAAATAAAATTTTTAAATAAATAAATGTGTGACGTCACACATGGCCTGACCCCCTCCCCCCTGTCAAGAACTGTCACACTTTCTTACAACCCCCCCCCCCCCCCGGAGCGTAACGTACCTAATGGACAGCCCCTAAGATCCAAGGTTAAGCTGTATGACACACATCTTCAAAGTTGAAAATTGTTAATTTTCAGGAGCAAAGTTGTTAAATCGAGCAAAGTCCACCAAAATAAGGGAATGACCCAAGCAAACTTTTAAAAACAAGAACAAAATAAACATTGTCAAATCATTCTGTTTGAAAATATAAATTTGTGTCAGAAACATTTTGGCCAGGTAGCAAATAGAACATTTTAATTTTTCTTTTAAAACTGTCACTAACAACTCAATAACATAGTGGCAAAAAAATTCAATGCTATAATTTTCAAATAACATGAAGTTTATTCCTGAAACAAATTTGTAAAATTCCCCAAAATGTGTATCACTAACTTTTGTTTAACTAATTTTATAAAAATAATGTATCAATAAAATAAAATGATAAATTATAATATATATAATGTAAAAACTTTTAATTTGCTTATCACCTCCCCTGAGCATGAAAACAAATCAATATGTTCTTGATGAACTCCAGGTTTCGTTGAGCCAGTTCTCCTATCTTAGAACTCAAAAAGAGTCGGTCATCATGATTATTTTTTTAAGCTCGTGATGTTATTTAGAGTTTTGTGTAGATTGCATCTCGCTTTCTCTTAAGCCGCACAATCAAAACGATCAATGCTATGCTGATGATCACACACATGCAGATACCAACAGTAAGAGCGATCCAAGATGCTTGAAGGAGAAAACAAAACAATTCATTAGATTAAAAGAGATTTGAAATAAAGGCATTGTTTAAAATATAAAAATAGTACAGAGTCTCACAGTCTTAAATGAATAGGTCAAAAGTAGGAAAAATCCATGTTGTTGTTTTTATGAATAACTTTAAAAAAAAATAATTTGTAAGGATAAAACCAATAAAATTAACCGAATTTATCTTACCAGGAGTCAAGGGTGAGTTAAATGCTGACAGACTTTGAATTTTGCATTCTGTCTCCCAGTCCAATGGTACAGTGTCTTTGGTATGTAATATGAAATCATTCAACTTACAAGGATTTGTGCAACCTGTTTGAGAAGTTCAGAAAATAAACAATAACAGTCATTAAAGAAACTGAAGCTAGATAAAGAACATACACAAAATATCTTTACAGAGATGCACATTAAAAACATCTAATTTTTAAATCTTTTTTAACAAATAAACTTCAAGTCTGTATGCCTTGAATTTTTAAATTCACATTTTAGGAGAAAAACAAACTTTGGAACGAAAATTACAAAATTCTTTACACGTATGCTGTAAACAACATATTTAAATTTTGATGGTTTATCTGACTGAATATAGATCTAAACTTGTTCCTATAAATTCAGGTTTATCTGATATCCTTATATTTTTTTATAAATAAATACACTTAAAACGTCAACTTGGGGTGCCATGTTATGGAATAAGATGTGTGACCCAAGTCTATTTATTACAATGACAATACAACATACCAACATACCAGGTACATTTAGTTCATATGGCTCCCTTGTTGTATCATTTTTGTAAAATATCTTGACAATATAATCATCTTGGACTTTATGCAGTTCAACCATTACTAAAGCTCTATAAATAGGACTATGGAGGTCAAACACATGCATGGCAGACAAAAGAGAAGCTACTGTTGTGTCGTGCTGAAAATGGTTTTAAAAGTCAATTATTTCATTAGGTACTTGCCAAGAAAGTAATAATTATTGAATTTTATTGAATATGTTGAATTGATTTCTAAGTTATCATGTTCAATTTACATTTAATAATTCAAATGCTGACCACTGATCAGATCCTTAAAGTTCATTATTTAAGAATTAAATTAAAATAATGATTTTCCTCAAATCACTTACAGCAGAGTACATGTAAAATTTGGGATTGGGGACTTCAGTTTTGGTAGCTGACAGCATGTTGCCAATGATTTCTTTCAGCAAAGGGCCTGGTGAAACAAAATAGTGTTTGTAAGAGATGCAAATCAATCTACCCCAAGCTAATATTAACCCTATATATACTCATACATGTTTTTTCATATGTCCACATCCCCCACCCTACCTTTGTTCAGAAAAAATCCTGAAAAGTATATAACCTGCTCATAAGCCAAACCAATAAAATAATATGCTTGTGTACACAAAATGGTACTACAGAATGTACCTTTTCGTACCGGACTTTTAAAAATAATTATTGTGTAAGTAAAGGAGTTAAAATGTATAAACATTCAATATAATCTATAAGACAGAAACTGGCTTTGCATGTCTAACAAACAGAACATTGCCAGAAATAGATGACTGCCGCTTGGAAAGAAATAGGGGTTGGCTTTGCTTGTACATGCACGTATTATGCTACAAGTAACAATTAGCAAGTATGCTAAAAGTGCAAATCTTGATCATTTTGAAAGTAATTATAAAAATGTGAAAAAGTTGATATTATTGTTTTTCCTTCACATGCGAAGATGACCAAAGCAATTTTTTACTTGAGACGTAGCCTTGACTTGAGCTGCATTTAATTTAAAGTGAGGGAGAGTTGCTTAATTTGTCAGCCTCACTCTCTCATCCTTGCCTGTATTATCCAATGGTATGACTAAGTCATGACGACTCGAAACAGACCAGGATGCATTAGATGACCAGCAGATTAATAGACTAAAAAACACAAACCATCGCAATCTGCGTATGCAAAATGCTTGATTAAGCTAGAGACCAAATACAAGGTAAGAAATTTTAGCCACAAGCCTCCAACAATGAAAAATAACAAATTATCCCAATTAAAATTTAATACAATTAATATTTATTGCCAAAAAAAATAGAGTGTAGTGAATAGCATAAGGAAATAATATTGAAACTATGCAAAATTGTGGATTTGGTTTAGTTCTTTATCTTGGCTCTCAGTTAGAGGTGGGTGATATAATTTTTACAATAGGTTTCTAAATTCACAAAACTTGACTTACCTCCCTTGAGCTTTGTCATTTCTGTGTTGTAGGTAAGTAGGTCAAAGCTCAAAGTCCTCAATGCATTCATTTTAGTCCAAACCTCTGGTGTCACCCAGGCATTCCATGTAAAATTGTGGGACAGCTGAAATTGTTATAACTAAAGTGACAAATAGTTTAAAATATTTTTTTTCTTTCATATTTTTATTCATTCTTTTCATAAGAATCCTGATTAGTGCTAGCCCCCCACCCCCTGTACCTTAATGTTAACGCCCACTTTTTTTCACGCCACCGAACTATATTAATATTCTAGAGTTCTACCCATTTTATACCACAAATTTATAAATCATATATAAGTTGAGACTATTTCTGTAAAACAAAAGACAAAATTATGCAAAATATGCTCTTGCTGTATTTTTAAGAATCTCATTTAGTGCAGTTATTCGACATTTTATTTTGCAAGCTGTTGAACTCACCATTACACCAAATACTTTCTTTCATACATAGACAATGTCAGTTATACCATGTGAAATCTTAAAAATTTAATATATTTTATGTTGTACATAAATAATTGACCAATTATGCAACTTTTAATATTAAAACTCTTCTTAATGTTCAAAGAATTAAATAACTTTTTTTTTATTTAACATATATAATTGCCAATAATAATGCAAAATAGCATAATTCATGCTTCTTCTAAAATTCAACCACATTTGGTATATCAAAAAAAAAAATAATGGTCTCAGAACATATGAATGCAAGTTAATTTTATTTAGAAGAGGGATCAATTACACCATTTGTCATACTATTTGAGAACTGCTACTGTTTAAACAAATAAAAATGGTTCTTTAACATGACCAAAGCTTGCTAAAATTGAGTAGCCTGTGTATTTTTATGATATAAAACAGATTTGTATATAATAGTTTATCTACCTCACAGAAAAGAGTATCTCCTACAGCCCAGATATCTTTAATGCTTTCTCTTTTTATCCCTGTGCTATTTTCAACCATATCATAGAAGGCCTGTTGATTTAATGTACATGTAATTAAACATTTATTTAAAAGAATGTAGGCCTATGCACAATTACTGAGAAAATAAATACCTTCCTTTTTTTAAAAAAGTAATTAAATGAGTAATTGAAATATATGATAAATATAGACTATAGAAAGCAAAATCTTTTGTTATTATTTGAATTTTTTCTCAAAACCAAAGCACTTATTACTGCTTTTTCCTTTTTTAGTTAGTTAAAAAAAAAGAAGAAGGTAGATATTGTTTAAATTTGAATTATAACTAATAAACATGAAATTTCAACAAAAAACTGAACAAATACAACTAATAAAAGACAACATGCATTTTAAAAAATTACTATAAATTATAAGAGAAACATAAACTGAGAAAATGAAATTTGAGGAGTACTTTATTTTCCTGCTCTTCTTTTTGTATTGCTGGTGATGCCAAAACTTCAGCTGTCAACTGATCATATCTTGGACATGGGGCATCAAGTGCCAATTTCTGTCAAGGGAATGAAAATAAAATTTAAAACCATGTTCCATTACACTGAAGATTTGTTTGAAATATCCATTTTCAATGTGTTAACTGTAGAAAAATTCATAAAACTTTATGAAGTTACATAATGAAAGTTTTTATTCTTACTCTTACATTATCTGTTTCCATTCTTATGTTATCAGATTTAATTGTTACGTTATCAGTTTTTATTCTTACATTATCAGTTCCAGCTTGTGACGTCTGTACTGGAATAGGTTGCCACAGAAGATCAGGATTCCAGATCTGACTTCCTTGAGGGGTGTATAAACCAGCCAGGTGACTGTAAGCAGACATAAGACATCTCTCAACACTTGAGGACTGTATAAGGATCTGAAATACATGTATTCCACAATGTATTAAAATTGTAAATATCTGAGAAAGAGTAACCTCATGAGTACTTATAACTTTTGAGTTTATTTTCTAAATATGTTGTTTAAAACAAGTTTGGTTCTTCTTTCAAAAAATGTAAGTCAATTTAAAATGTTATTCTAACCTGAAATAGACAGTGAGTCATCAAAAACAGAGACATATTCAATCTCAAAAATACAGATAAAGTATGAGAGAACCTTAGAATAGCCCAAAATTGTTGAAAGTGCTTAACAAAATTTGCTAGGGAAAGGGGATAGTATACCTCATTATGATTGTAATATGATGTATTCAGGAAGCCATCATAACGCTGTTTAATGTAATGTCCTAGTTCATACTGCTGTACTTTGCCAAGCTGAGAAAAGAACATTTAGTGTCAATGTATAATACCACAAAAAACACTATTTTAATTAAAATAAGACACTTTGTTTTTTTAAATATAAATTCTTGAAAATAAAGCATTTTTAAAATATAATTAAAAGAAATTTTTTTAATAGGTAAAATTAAACTCACATTTGTTAACCAACCAAGTCCATCTGGCCATGTGTTAGCCGGTTGATTATTATCCAGTGGGTATACTGTTGTGGGACTGCGATCACCATGGCGATACAGCTGGAATAACAAGTGTTTCATTCATTTTGCTTCACCTGTTTTCTTAAAACTAGTAACTAATTTAATGAAAGCTACAATAAAACGTAAGACTATCTTTCAGCTTTTATGCTTACAAAGAGAATTAAATAGTTTCTTTGTGTCTTAAATATTTTTTTTTATCTTTAACTTTAAATTACTTTCAAAAAAAGTATTTCCTTTAATTATCATCGCTTCACAGAACTGAACTTCAATAAAAGTAACCACTAGTGAACCCCCTTCAAATTTCTGAAACCTAACGACTTGTGAATTCAGAAGCACAAAACATTTTTTGTTCACTGTAAGTTATTTTAATGTTAAAATTAAAGTGATATAACTCACCACACTGACAAGCTTCAATGTATCTGGTGGTGAAGCCAACACAACTCCACACAAAATGCAAAGCAAGTAAATAATTGTTAACATGTTTTTTGGCACCTTTACTAATAAATGAACCTGTTGTGGATGTATAAATTAATTAAAGTTCATTTTGGGTAAACAGTACTATCCATCCAATGGGAGCTTAGAGAAAATAAAATTTCATTTGGTAATAGAGATGTAAGCTATATATTTAACATTGGCTCAATTGACCTTGCCAGTCACAATCAGAGTGTGTTGTAGTCTCACTTGTTTTTATCTTATTAGATGATAAGTGGGCAGTAGGTTAAAAGTGTGTTAGACCTACTCTTGTGATGGCCTCTTAAAAATTGTGACAAGGAGATATTCAAAAAGATGAAGTGTACTAAACAAACTTTACAAGACTTTGATTACAAAAAGAATGCTAGAAATTTTATCCGTTCTGATGGTTTGTTAACTACATCTAACAGTTACAGATGCTCTGTTTGGTATTGTAAAAATTGAATTATTACATATTTTTGAAATGTAAAAAATTCAAGAAAGTTTTGATAAAATATATATTGGATCTAGTATTATTTACAAAAGCAGTTCCTAAACTTTTTCAGTCATGGAACACTTTAGTCTTGAGAAGACGTTCCCTTTATAATTCTAAAACTACAAACACGTATTTGATAGAAAAAAGATTATTATAGAAAACATGGTGTCTGGGAGACTGTACAGGATTGAAATTTTTCATTACTCATGTCTGTTTAGTCAGATAGCGGGTCCTTCATAAAAATGCAAATTTACTGGTAAAATTGGGCGTTTCATTATTATTAAATTCTTAAGAGTCTCCTTTAATGTTTCCCAACATTTCTCAAGCCCCATTGAATCACAATGTAACAATTTCTTCTAGATGTGAATTAACTCAAATTTACAAAACAAGCATGTCAGTGTACTCTAATGCAGTCTTTTGGGTCTAAACTAGTGATCAGTGGCATCACAAGGGAGGTGCAAGGGTGCTGGTCCCAAAGTTGGGTTACCCAGGGTGCCAACTCTATAAAATAAAATTTTTTGACATATTTTGATTGACAAGTAACATTTTTTAAGGAAATGTGTTTTAAGCTAAGTAGTAAAAAAAAAAAATCAAACAACCCTACGACTATATTTCTATGATTCTATGCACTATTAAGCACATGGGAGAGAAAAGTTCTCTAGAAAATATATATGGACCAACAAAGAATAAATATGGATGGAGAATACTAACCAACCAGGAATTGTATAGTCTACATCAGGCTCCCATGCTAGTAGCAGAAATAAAAAAGGGTAGGCTACGCTGGGCAGGACACTTAGAAAAAATGCCAAATGACTGAGGAGTGAAGAGGGTACATCAACTAACCCCTGAGGAAAACGGCTGAAAGGAAGACCTAGACTTAGAGGGACTAATGATGTGGAAAAAGATCGACAGCAGCTGGGAATCCAAGAATGGAAAAGAAAAGCATTATTTAGATCTGAGTGGAAGGAAGTGGTGAGGCAGGCCAAAGCCCTACATAGGCTGTAGTGCTACAGGGATAGATGGATGTGCCATGTCAATTATCAAGTAAGTATGTTTCTATTGGCATGGCTCAATGTCCTTTGAACATGATACATTAGCCTATTTTCAAGCCTTAGCTTATTGTATGACATTCACAATAGTTTGCTCTTCATTGTGAGTAAAAAGATTTAAAGCAAGCTTCAAAAACTGTTAATTTTTTTTACAGATATCCTGAAGTTTTCAGTGAGCTTAACAAACAAGACATTTTTGGTCATATTGTTATGGTCCGCTTATAACTTTATGGAGGGTTGGCAGCCCTGTGGTGAAACTAAATGGAACATTGCAAATTTTACAAGGCTCATTCAAGTCAGTTTCATAAAATATCTAGTCTAAGATAAATACAAGAGCAGGATGCCACCAGACAGAGCACCACCAGATCTAAGTGTCTCAAAGTTGCCACAAGAGTAGGGTGCCACCAGAGCATCCAGTGCAATTTTCTATAAGTTTAGTCATGTAACTTAAGTCTGTGATGCTCTAAGTGGGTCATGACTTAATGGTGTTCACCGCAAAAAAAAAAAAAAAAATTAGGGGGCTTCGTGTAAGAGGAGCTTTTAAAAAAATAAAAAAAGTTGCCACAAGAGTAGGGTGCCACAAGAACATCCAGTGCAATTTTTTATAAGTTTAGTCATGTAACTTAAGTTTGGGATGGTCTAAGTGGGTCATGACTTAATGGTGTTCACCGCAAAAAAAAAAAAAAAAAATTATGTGGCTTCATGTAAGAGGAGCTTTTCAAAAATTAAACTTATATAGAGTTAGAGAGCTATTTGCTATCTAATATCAAACAGTCCAAACTTTCTGGTCTTGTGGTTTTGTCACTTAAGTGTTAAGGCTAATTTGAAGAATCTTAACTTTGTTGAAGTAAATCACGTTTGCATCTTTGAAGGCTAGTAAAGCAAAGTATAAACTGTAAAGAATTAATATTAATATTTCAATAAAAAGTAATTTTGATGCATTTTATAATGCTGTTACATCAAGTTATAGTTTTGCTTTTGAATTTTTGTTAATATTTGCTTTAGGATTTAATTTACAATCAATTAATATGAGTAGCCTATAAATTATAAGCTATTTGCACCATTCTGTGTGGTCTGGTTAAGAAATACACAGTGCAGGTCTGGCAAAAACAAAACAAAAAAAAAAGGGGGGGGGGGGCAGTTGTGACACCAACCCTGGAGGTGCCTCTCCTAGTGATATTAACAATAATAATAATATGAAATTAATTCGTCAATTGTAATCAACTTATAACTAAGACTTGAATTTGAATAGGCCAACAAGACAGGAGGGTACTTAGGCTAATGACTAATGACTAATGAGCCTAAGCCCTAGTACAAATCTTTCTAAAGTTTCTAGCATGCCTTGCAGACTTTGTTATTAAAACTATTATTAATTATAATATAATAAGAGCCAGAATTATCAATATATTGAGTGAGCTCTTAAACTCATTAAGTATAGTAATAAGTAATAAGAGTATATTATTTTATAGTATATAATATTATATATATTATATTATTAATAACTTAAATTTAAATAACTAAGCTGCTTAAAAATTACATTACATACTTACACTTGCGTCAGGGTACAATAAGTTGACAATCCAGTCACTAGATCTATTAGTATTATTTAGTAATATTTAAATTTAGGCTATACAAAATATAGTAGTAGAGTTATAGTTAGAGGCCTATGACATGAATGAATGTTCTAATTTTAATACTACTATGACTATGACTATAATAAACTATGACTGACTAGGCCTATATGAACTATATGAATTATGAATAGTGGAAGACTTTAGACTTAGAAGACTGTCTATGTTGATTCATGTGTAGAGATACATCAGGTGCATTAAATGTTTGTTAATGTTTTAAAGTTTATACGTTTTCTTGTTGCTCTGAAACATGTCAATCTGCTAATACACCGACTCATTAAATCGGTAGCCTACTAGACAGCTGTTAAGCTATTACCTAATTTAATTTAAATAAAATAAAAAGAGTAGAGAAAAATGTATAAGGGAGGCAATGCTATAATTTACTTTGGCGGTGTAGCTAAATATTTTGCAATGCCAAATTTTACTGCATTTTCTCGACTAAATAAGAACTAGAAGACAGAGTCTTTAATTGTCCCAAAATGAATGGAAATCTATTTTGATTAAATTAAAAATTACAGTATGAGTAAACAATCGGATTAAAAATAATAATGTTAAACCAGGACAATGTATTAATCAAAGTCATTTTTACATTACGTTTTTTTAAGATTAAAACCTTTCGAATTTTAACAAAAAGTATTTCTATTATATTATATAATATATAATTGCGGTACTTTGATAAATAAGGATTCGCCTTGATCGTGCTGATCTTTAGTAACGGTGGTGTAGCCTAGTAGGTGTTATTGTACTTTTTTTTTCTTTAACTTGAACTAAATCATCAAAAAGAAAACAACAACAAAACATCAGCTTTTTAAAAGAAGGCAATTTTCGACTTGAGTAGTTGACTTGAGCTGTATTTTGTTTAAAGTGAGGGACGATTGGGAATAGACCAGTATGCAGTGGCAGTAGATGACCAGTTTCTTGTGTTTCACAACGCTTTTTATGCGTTCTACGTCGCAGGAGTTGACGGAATTTTCATTGTGTCAATGTCACAAAACCTGCGGGACTCAATCTCCGGGTCTGAAGTCTGAATTCAGAGTTTGCCTTCTCTTAGATGAGTTGCCATCCACGTGGACATGGACAAGACCCTGCACCTTAGTCTTCGTTCCCTGCCACCTATCATAAATCAACCGTGGCCCACGCTCCTACACGTCTCCAACAGAACGCCACATATAAAAGTCCACAACAGGGGCCTCAAACTCAAATTATCCGGNGGGGGGGGGGGGGGGGGGGGGGGGGGCACAGGAGGTAGAGTCTGAATGAGACTGGGCAGCCTCAAGTATTCCACACACAAAAAAATGCGATTAAAAATTCAATTAAGTAAAACTGTTACAATCTGCTCAACCTTTATTAATAACAAATAAAAACATTAAAGGTTCTCAAGAAATGGGCTTCACTTTCTTCACCATACTCCTTGTTGCTAGAGACCTGACAGCGCTTCTTCTTACACAGCTGAGCAACATTTGGCTTGAGTGAGGAAACAACTGAGACCCTCATTATAGCTTGAAGATGCTCATCAGTAGGTTCATATTGGAAAAGACCTTACTTTCAAAAAGGCAGTTGATCCATTTAACAACCTGGAAATCTCAGGGAATGTGGAGGGCAATTCTCTCATAAATTGTCCAAGATTGTTTGGTTTTCCAGTCACCTCACTAAACTTGGCCTTAAGTTCAGCATTGCACTGAAAATCAAGCAGCTCCATTTATGCACAGGTTTAGGAAAGGGGGGGGGGGTATCTTCCACATTGGAGGAGAAAGGGTTAGCATAAAATTTGAAAAGTGGCTTCGCGTGTTGTGAAGTCTGCAAAACTTTGATTGAGTTCTGTGTAGCTTTGCAATGGCATCAGTATATTTATTACTAAATGGTGAGCCCGAGTCCATGATTACTTTGCATGTTGGGAAATGGCAGAGGTTTCTATGAGAAAGCTGTGTTTTCCATAGCACAAGCTTGTGGAGAATGCCCTATGACTTTGTCATGGGCAACACTGATTAGCTTCCCCTGGTCTTGTAGCCTCTTTTTGAGTGCATTCATCTCCTGTGTAATGTCAACAAGAAAAGCCAATGCCATGAGCAATTGAGTCACTTTAAGGGTTTCTTTCAGACATTTTCCGCCCGGGGGGTGGGGGGAGGTGGAAATTTTCAGATTTTTCGGGGGGGGGGCGGGACAGTGCCAGTAATGTTGCCATTGGGCAGTGGCCAGAGGCGTAGCTAAGGGGTGGCAGATGGGGCATACGTCCCGGCACGCATGAATAGCGGGGGCACCAAAATTGGCTTTGATGGTATTTGATGGTTGAAAATAATTAGTTTCGCATTTGGGGGGGGGGGGGCG